ACAAATTTAAAAATCGCTAATTTTCGAAATTTTTTCAATTTTTTTTACTTAAAAGTGCCATAACTTTTTCAAAAATGAACATATCAATATAATTCTTTTTTATATAGATGCATAATATCATTACCTTTCATTCGGTATATTTTTTTCATAAATTTAACCCTTACCCTGCCACAAGAGGGGATTTAAAATGACAACTTATTCACAAAAAATTTACTTTTTCAACTTAAATTTTGAAAATGTTCCGGAAGGTCTGACACTTTTATATATATCTTAAATTAAAGCTAATGTATTATGCTTTATCATAAAAAAAAAAAAATTTTGGACTTTATCTTATCTTCATGGTGAAAATGGCTACCGAATGCTATTTTTGTGTGAAAATTTTCGATTTTGTATTTTCCATTTTTAACTTTATTATGCTATAACTTTTTGAAAAATGAATGAATCATTACAATTTTTTTATGAGAAGTAGTATTTATATAGATCTTTCATTCGACATACTATTTTTTTTAAATCGGACCATTTCCCTTAATATAGGGGGGATTCAAAACATAAAAATGCATATAGAAAGTAGAACTTTTTCAACGTAACTTTTGAAAGTGTTCCGGAAGGTCTGACACTTTTATATATATCTTAAATTAAAGCTAATGTAATATACTTTATAATGGTAAAAAAAAATTTCGGACTTTATTTTATCTTCATGGTGAAAACAGACATTAAACTTAATAAAAAAAATACGATTTTTGTAAAAAAATTCTTTTTTATATTTTTAACTTTATAATGCTATAACTTTTTGACAGATGTATGGATCAATATAATTCTTTTATTTTGTAGATACATGATGTCTTTGCCTATTATTTGGTATATTTTTTTTATAAATCTGACTTTTTACCTGCCTACAGGGGGGGATTCAAAATGACAACTTTTTCACAAAAAATTGACTTTTTCAACTTAAATTTTGAAAGTGTTCCGGAAAGTCTCACACTTTTTTATATATATTAAATTAAAGCTAATGTAATCTACTTTATTATGTAAAAAAAAATTTCGGATTTTATTTTGTCTTCACGATGAAAATGGCTACCAAATGCTATTATTGTGTGAAAATTCTCAATTTTATTTTTTACATTTTTAACATTANTATGAAAGTTCTTGATTTTATTTTTTACATTTTTAACTTTATAATGCTATGACATATTGAAAAGTGTATGGATCAACATTATTTTTTTATGAGAAATAATATTTTTTAATAATCCCTTTTTCATTCTACATACTTTATCTTAATTAGGATANTAATTCTACATACTTTATCTTAAATAGGATAATAATAAGGAACTAGCAGGTCATGTAGCTTTTGGAATAATCCACCAATTTTTTAAAATGTAACATTATCTAAAGATTTGCATCGAAGCGTTTTTTTTTTATAGTGATTTTAATCACTGTCAGATATCATTATACTTGATCCAACTATGCCACGTCACCACTGTGCCGCGACCCCCCTGTGCTGGGTTTTTTTTTAATGTATGTCCTACGCCGGTCTGCTCTGAAAATAGTAATGTGGTTTTTTACTGACCCAAACACTAAAGTCTGCGCATGTGTATGATTATAGTAGTATAATTGTAGTATACTACACCCAGAGAAAAACCTCGATATATATAATAAATTCATTGTTCAATTTTATAAATATATCATTACTATTGAATCAATGATATATTTATCAATATGATATTTTTTTTTCTTGTTTTGAACAATAATTATTTATAAGAATAGTTATTTTGTTCGTATTAATGAAACATTATCATAAACCCTAGATAAAATTTCTCTTTAAATTTTGATTGAGGTTTTTCTTTGGGTGTATAGTATATTATTTGTAATCAATCAATATAAATAATTTTCAAAAATGGACATTTAGTATAATAGGTTAGAATTTTTTGGACATAATATTTGGCTAAAATAAGGTTTGAACATAACAGTTTTTAGAAATGTTGAGTTAAACTTAGAGTTCTAAATCAAATAAAACAATTTAAGATAAAAGGTTTGTATATATCTGTTTACAAACTTTACTTGATGTTTAACGGAATATTCATTATTTATTTTGTATTAATTTTTATATTGATGCAAATTTGAGAAGCTATTAATTTTACTATCATGTACTTATTATCATTACTGTCATACAATTATTTTAATTCTTTATTCTCTCACGAGAAAATTTTCAGTTTTTACTTATCTAAAAATGTCTTTCAATATTTTAGAAGATTCCATATTATACTCAGTTAAAAAAACTATCCTGATATATTATTACATTGTTTTTTATTGTGAAGTTTTAATAGTGAAACGATAAGTGGGAAGCTTATTTATTTATATAAATGTGTTTGCTAAATAAATATCATTTATGACATATATTATATTCTAAATTTATTGACATAAATTCGAATACTTACAATCATACATGTAATTTTCTAAGCATACAATTGTTTTTGTGAATTTTCTTAGTAAAATAATTGTATACAAAATATTTTATATTTTTGATCTTTGGTTAAATTTTTCCACAGCATTAGAATATAGGGAATTAAATTGTATTTCTCCAAGTACATTTTAAATTATTTTAAACATAATGAAAAATATTCGCTAAAATTAGAAGACAACAAATCAAATATTTTGAGACGTGATTTAAGAATGTTTGGTGAAATCTCATAGTGAAATTGTAATTGCGATGTTAGAAGCTTTAAGATCAGAATAAAATTTTATTGTAAATCGAATTTTTCATGCTTTTTGATTTTTTGATTAATTTTTTATGAAAAAATATTAATTTTACAAAAAGTAATATATTACCTTTTTTTTTTTTGTGTGTTTGTCACACAGACAAAAAATTCAGTTTTCCACCTTATTGTTCTAGAAGTGTATACATGTCTAATTTATATACGTTTTAATTATTATAATTATAGTTATATTAGTTAAATTCAGTAATTATTTATAACTTTGAGTGGTATACGAGTGAAAATTCAGACAAAATATATATGACATTAATCGATAAGTGTATTACAGTTATGTAGATTATAATAATATTATAAACATTAGAATATATATTCCAGCGATTATCATCGTCGTCGTCGGTGGCTGCGGTAGTAATATTTATTTCGGAATGTGATTTGCTAAACATCTCATAATAGGAAAACTTGAACTATCGTTATTATTATTATTATATATTGTCGATAAAAAATACTGATTTATTATTCACTATACGAATAACGGTCAAGCTTATTAACTCGTATATTAACAATTAATGTAATAGACGGCGACATCGCCGCCGCCGCGTTAAGCCATCAGCTGTACTAATCTCAAATGCTATAGTATAAAAATATATAATCATCTATAAAGTCTTCTGACACAATGTTTCGAACAAATCTATGTTTTTTTTAAATTAGGAAAAATTAACGTTTTACGTACGAACTTTATTCAAAAATGTGCATGTCGCATATCAAAATAACGGATTTGACTTTTAAAATTCATACTTTTCACCGTAATACATTTTTTTTTCGTCAAAAAACCGATATTTCTTAATACTATTATGGCCACCGCCGTGTGATAATCTAAAAAAAAAAAATAATAACAGTATGTACAGCTAACAAATTAGACGAAGTCAATATATTACAGTGATTATCGTTGTCAACGGCGGCGGCGATTGTGTATAAACATATGCGATGCGCCCATGTACTCTGGTGGAGTAAGCTTTTGCGTATAGGGTACAGCAATTAACAAGTGGACCCGACGCACACCAAACGCATGTTCAAGGGTTAACGCGTATCTAACCTGGAAAATTAATTTTTATTTTTCCACATAATTTAGGGGCGTGACAAGTTGTGTTAATTTACGTCTCGTTTCATCCCCCCTCCACTCATTTTAGGTTAGATTACGTTAAGTTTCATTATCCCCAATTATAAGACTTGGTGATGGAGGAGAAGTTCCTCACCCACTCTAGGTTAGTTTACGTTGGGTTTCATCGTCGTTCCCCTCCCCCTGCACTATGTTAGTTTACATTGGATTTTCTCCCCCTCCACACCTCTTCACCATCACCCAGAAGGTGCAGCGGTTTGGTGAAACGGGGGGAACCAGAATTTCAATTCTTAACCTACTTATTTAAGTACACAATACATACGTCTCTAATAATCGATAGTCGTCATCCGCAAAAGATAATATTGAATGTCCTGAATGCTCTCGCGCTATTCGTACTTTTGCATCCCTTTCAGTTGTCGGCCCTTGTGGCACATTACGGACCATTATCATCGTTCACGACTTGAGCAATTCAACGCATACATCTGTCTACATCTCACTGCCATTTTTCATCATTTTATTCTACGTTATATAGCTAAGTTTTATTTATTTAATCCTATTTATTTTATTTTATTTATCTATTTCTTCATAGCTGCTCTGTCGACCATTTTAGTAATTGAGACATCCCCAAACCACCCTTTATTTTAAGATACTGTAATGAATATATATTAGTATTTTTATATGTAGTAAAACAGATATACTTCTTATTTCCGTTAATTTTTGTTTATCCCAAATAAACAACACTACCCACTGTAACTGGCAACCCCCTTTAATATTAAGGAGTAGCATGGCACACAAATATAATCTATACTTGTCAAAATAAATCCACATCCTCACTGCCCTGGTTTATAAAATTTATTTACAAATCTTATATTTAGATAACTTAATTATTCGAACTAAAAGTAACATTGAATTTTATAATAACACACGCACACACCCACGTATATATATATGTATAATTGATTAATAAAATAATATCAACAAAATTACAACCACTTACATAATATTATGAATATTATATAAATAGAATGTAATCGACCATATACTTTGGCATTGAAATATTAAGTTCTGATAAGTCTTCAATATTTTGGATATCTGTTTGTTTTTCGTTATCAACAGTATATTGATTTACCGTATTAATTCTAGATGTTTCATCATTAAAAGATTCAGTAGTCTCCATGTTATATATTTCATTGTATATATCCGGGCTGCATAACCGATCTATAAAATAATATTTAATAATAATTTGCACGATTATTCAATAAAAAATAAATAAGTAAATAAAGACATCAATGTAAAATGAATAACTTTTCAATTTCGCAACGACGCTAAAAATATTCCACACAACTATGATTATGACACATGTTAATAGACATTCGCTTTAAAACTATGGAATTTAGTTACTTATTGAAAATTTTGGCTTTAGATTTGTTTAGGCAGACTTAGCCCAAAATGATAAAGATAGAGGCTATGGAGATGACGACTTCAGTACTGTACTAAATAGTTAATAACCAAAATTACTAAATATTAATTTATCTTTAAAAAAATAAAACTGATGTTGTTCGGTAGGTACTGGACTGTAGAACGGGATTAAAAATAAGTAAAATAAAAAATCCCAACCCAGCACAGGGGGGTCGCGGCACAGTGGTGACGTGGCATAGTTGGATCAAGTATAATGATATCTGACAGTAATTAAAATCACTATTAAGAAAAAACGCTTCAATGAAAATCTTTAGATAATGTTTAATTTTAAAAAATTGGTGGATTATTCCAAAAACCACATAATCTGCTAGTTCCTTATTATTATCCTGATTAAGATAAAGTATGTTGAATAAAAAAGGAATTATTAAAAAATATTATTTTTCATTAAAAAATATGTTGATCCATACACTTTTCAATAAGTTATAGCATTATAATGTTAAAAATGTTAAAAATAAAATCGAGAATTTTCACACATAATAGCATTCGGTAGCCATTTTCACCTTGAAGACAAAATAAAGTCCAAAATTTTTTTTTTGCACAATAAAGTGCATGACATTAGCTTTAATTTAAAATATATATAAAAGTGTCAGACATTCCGGAACATTTTCAAAAGTCAAGTTGAAAAAGTTAATTTTTTGTAAAAAAGTTGTCATTTTTAATCCCCCCTGTGGGCAAGTAAAGGTTCACATATAAAAAAAAATATTTCAAATGAATGGTAATGATATCATGCATCTATATAAAAAAAATTATATTTATTTGGTTATTTTTAAAAAAGTTATAGCAATTTTAAGTAAAAAAAATTGAAAAAATTGAAAAAATTAGCGATTTTTAAATTTGTAATTTTTTGTAGGTTTCTCCCATTTACGGTGAACGAGGGAAATTTGTTCAATTTTTGAGGTGAGAGCTGTGAAAAAGTGATAACAGACACAAAAAAAAAAACATAAATTAAAATCAATTCCTTCTCGGCTTCGAATCGAAGCTAAAATAGAATTAAATGACTGAAACAAAATAGACTGAAACGAATCAGGATAATTTGTTGTCTTGAATATGTAATGCTATCAGGTGGTTGCATTTTATCACAGAAATGGCAGTCAGTATTCGTCCGTTAGACCGCGACACTATTCCCGACAGAACCGGTTTCTACTTTTGGCCACTAGATCACGAGTAGAGAATTGGAACACGATCACGGTGGCGACATCAAACTGATCGGTACAGTGATACCAACACGATTTACAAAAATGTGGAATGTACGTTCCGACGACAATTCCACGAGGTTAATGTATACGATAGCTGGACTTATTATTTTAAAATCAGATTTCTTCTTACGGCCCTCGAAGACGTTCTTGCTCTTGTTTTCCGCCGCCACCAAATATGTAATGCGGGTCCGCATGGAGAAGATGGATTTATTAGTAAAAAGTAGAATTGAATAGAGTTTATTTATTAATGATCAATTTAATAGTGATCGATTAAAATAGAATAAAATAACATTGAATATATAATAAATAACACACGAAATAGAACTACAGCTTTAGTTAACAGACTTATAATTAACCGGGTTAGACTTAGAATACTATGTGTAGCGTCACTTTCACATACCCAACCACGACTGAATGTAGGGGAACTATAGTGGGAATCCTTTTTCCATGGTTGCCCTAAATCCTTTGGGCAACACATTCCTGTTTATTATACAATAATGGTAACGTGATACCATCACCATTTATAATGAAAAATAATCAGTATAAATATTGTAATTTAAAAATATATAAGAAATGTTCGACAGAGTTATAAGCTTTTTATAAAGTTATACATTTTTTTAGTTAAAAATAAAAATATGTTAAAATTTTGTGTATTTTTGGCATATGTAATGTTAATTATTACTACCTAGTAATATTTGGTTTTAACTTTAAAGCCTATTATTAAAATAATGATTAAAAAAGTTTGAACTTACTCATCATAATTGAATAGGGATTGAAGATGTCATCACTGCTCTTTCTAAAATAAAAGGAAAATATGTTTCGTGTTTTATTCATTGAATTAAGAGATTCTTTGTATTTGTCCAGTTCGATTAGGTATGTTGACATTTCACTAACACGTCGGGAAAATATGTTATAGAGTTGAACAATATTATTAAAATGAGTAATTCTATAATTCATTATTATACCACAATAACTATTTAATATATTATTAGAAAAAAAGGTCTTCGTAGATAACATTATGCAGTCCAATGTACGATAAGACTGAGATATATCTTTACCAACAATATTACGAATATCATTACAAATATTGTTTAAAAAAGTTTTCGGTAGTTTTTGAATTATAAATTGTTTATTGAAATATTCAATTTGTTTAATTATTGCTGTACCAATTTCTGTGAGGCTAATACGAATTTGATCTAGATTATTTTTATTTTTATTATACCATTTAGAATTGCAAAAATCGTTTATCCTCTTTAAAAATGAAATATACATACGGACAACTAATAAAATAGGCCGAATAGTTGAAGCTAGCACTAGCTCTTGATATCCTTGTAATTGTTTTGTATTAAAATTGTATTTCATGTAACGAAATACGTCAAAAAGTGTTACATATGAATCATCGGGACACTTATATGTAAGTGGTGAAAATTTAAAATAATCTATAACGTTAACGGCCCAACAATCTTTTACTTCTGGTATTTTTCTATATTGTACACCTGAAATCAGATTTCGTTCATCAAATTTTTGCAGTCCCATCATTAAATCATAGTATAACAATTTTTTTGGATGGAAATCCCATCGAGAATCACTTTTTATTGCTAATTTCAATATTCTAAATACTTCACTGTGTTTTAATTTCAATCTTTCATCATTGAGTTGCAAGTCATTAATAGACAACCTGTTTTTTAGTTTTTCTACAATATCAGGGAGAAATTTAATTCTATAATCTTTTTCCTTATTGAAATCTGGGCAATTCGTAAATACTTCCTCAAAAGATATATCAAAACATGTGCTGAGGACAAAATATTCCAAGCGTTTTACTATAGCTTTATGTATCATCAAAAATCCTTCTAGTAAATTTAATATTCTATTCGAATCATCAAATTTACCATTTTTATTTTTAAAACTCATTTCTACAGATCCTGAAACGTTATTCAAGTATAAATTTACATTCATAAGAGATGATGGATAATCCCTCCAATCTTCTGATCTTAAAGCTTCTAACATTGCAATTACAATTTCACCATGAGATTGTATTGCTCGTCCATATATTTGTAAATCACCAATCAAAATATTTGATTTTTCCTCTTCTAATTTTAGCAAGTATTTTTCATTATGTTTAAAATAATTCAAAATATACCTGGAGAAATTACAATTTAACTCTATATATTCTAAAGCTATAGAAACATTAAACCAAAGAACAAAAATGTAAAATATTTTATATTCAATCATTTTAATAAGAAAATTCATAAAACCAATTATATGCTTAGAAAATTACACTTTAAGTATATATGATTGTAAGCATTCGTATTTATGTCAATATATTTAGAATTTGAATTTAGAATATGGCATAAATAAAATTAATTTTGCAAATACATTTGTATACATAAATAAATCCACCAAACTAACATTTTTCTATTAAAACTTTATTTTACACCGTAAATAATTTAAAAAGAAAATTAAATATAAAATTATAACACATAAATGCTGATTTTTTACAACAAAATAATATATTTCGTTTTATTTCAGGGGACAATTACATATAGAAGAAGTGGCCAGGAAAAATGTTTTTCAATAGTTAAGTTGATAAGGTTTGCTTTCATACAAAGATTTTTATTTTAAAAACATACTATTATTGTGGTGTAATTTTTGGTTTTTATATTTCATAATTTCATCTTAGAATCAATTTAACTTTTTTTTAAATAGTATGAATACATATGATGATTTTTATAAACACTTTATTCATATTTCTTTTATCCGACATAATTTTTATATATATATTTGTTCTAATGTTGTTAAAATGAAACAAATTCACATAATCTTGTTGATTTTTGGCAATTATCAGTCTATGAAAAAATCAAGTTTTAGAAACGTCGTGGGCGATTTCAAATTTCTCATTAAGTACTGGTCTATTGGTGATATAAGTATGGTAAACTTATAAGTATCGTATAACTAATATAATGCAACATTCACTGATTGAAAACTGATTACCGAGATGATGGTCATGTCCCCTTTTATATTTACATTATTCATTAAATAATCATTTAAATATTATACCATAATACTTTCTAGCGTTATAATTAAAGTATTTGACAATATAATTCTACTTTCTAGTAATTATAATGTTACATATAAATTCCTTGAAACTAAAATTTACAAAATAATCATGGGTTCACGACAATATCTGACTCAGCATTACGCTACGCTCTATGCTGACTCTCACTCTCGTCTCTTTTGATATCAGCCCATTATTATGACAATCGGTTGTCATCGGGAGACTTCTGCCCTTGGTACCGTGACAAGGCCACCGCCTAATATGTATCACTGATAATGCGTTCTGTTCTATTTCCGACGTACACCTTAACGGGTATACCAATTTTGTGCTGTTTTATTGTTTTTTTTCTTTTGTTTCTTCTACGTTTGTGATTATTTACTTGTTATTAATCTGTAGCTAAATACTGATATATACATAAACATTATCTATTATTTAAAAGTGTATTTATGCATAAAAAGTATATGTATTATTATTGTGACTCGGTCGCGGTGTTAAACTTTTCTATATATCTATATAAATAAATGTAAAAAAACTAATATATTTCTTTAGAATTGATTGTTTTCAGTATATCTTTGATAATATGATGAGGTGAGAAAGTAATTGTGATTATACATAATAATTGATAAGTAAAATATTATGTAGCAAAGGATTAAAATAGTAATATAATTTAATATAACATAAAAGTATTAATAAATAACGACGATCAAGATGTTCGCTTAACGTTGTCATGAGTACGATAAGAACAGGACAGAATAAGGTTTTGCTCTGCCTTTTTATAATACTTTTTACCCCCGAGAAATCATCATTGTCTTATTCATACAGTATAACTGTTTATTGGTATGTAAGCATAATATACAAATATTATTACAGACAACAAGAATATATAAATCATTTAACATTTTATAGTATCATCAACATATTTTTAGCTTTGATATGAAGCTGAGAAGGTATTAATTTTACCATGATGTGTTCTTTTTTTTATGTCTGTTGCCACTTTTTCTCAGCTCTCACTGGACCGATTTCTTTCAACAATACGTCAAAAGATTACAATTTGTGTCTAATTGAAGACATTGCCCTTAAAAATTGAAACATTTTCCCTCGTTCCCCGAAAATGGAAGAAATCTCCAAAAAAATTACAATTTTTAACATCAATTAATTTTGTCATTTTTTTCACTTTTCATTCTTAAAACTTCCATAACTTTTTCAAAAATCAACAAATAAACATAATTTTTTTTTATACTAAAACCTTAAATATTTCCCTTTCATTTGATATCATTTTTTTGAAAATCTAACACTTAATCTGCTCACTGGAGGGAATTTAAAATAGCAACTTTTTTACAAAAACTAACTTTTTCAACTTAACTTTTGAAAATGTTCCGGAAATACTGCGTTCTTTAAACATATATTAAATCAAAGGTTATGTCATATACTTTAAACTGAAAAAAAAAAAATTTGATCCGACACCTTATCTTACATGTGTAAATGACTGCCGAAATTCAACAAAAAATTTAATGTTTGCGATCAATTTTTTTATTAATACTTTCACTTTAAAGGACAAAAAAAAGTAGGTTCAAAATGATTACTTTTAACATATCAAAAATTTTATAATTTGAAAACAATTAATTATAATAATTATATAATATATAAGTAAAAGAATTAAAAATCTGAGTTTAATTAAGGAAATAGAAGTTAAAGTTGCTTTTGTAATTATCCACCAATTTCTTAGAATTAAATACTAACTACAGATTTGCATCGACGCGTTTCTTATGATGATTTTAATCACTGTCAGATTAAATCTATACTGAACCCAACTATGCAACGTCCCCACTATACCGCGACCCCACTGGGCTGGGTCTTTTAACATATAATATTAGGGTTGATACAATGTATTTAATTATTAAAACTAAAATAACAAATATGACAAAAACAATTTATAGATTTCCTCTCGGAAGGAATGATTATTAAATAAAATAAACTTATTTTTAGCAACACAAAAACTATTTATTATTAAAAATAACTCTGGTTTTATATAAATATATATACAGGGTGGCCCACCACTCACTGACAACTTAAATAACTTTTGATCCAGTTAATATTTTTAGTTGATTTTTTTTTTAAATAATAGTTATACGTTAGGTCTATAGCTATATCTCAATAATTAATTTTTTTACATTTTATTAAAAATATTAATTATTTTTAAATTTTAAATAAAATGTAAAAAAAAAATCTAAGATAGCTATTTTGTAGAGTAGAATTTAAGAAAAATTTTAGTAAAAAAATATCTTATTAATATTCAGTAGTAAATATTCTGTAGCGTTTTGAAGTTTGT